AGATAGATAGATAGATAGATAGATAGATAGATAGATAGATAGATAGGAAAATAGATAGATAGATAGATAGATATAGGTACAGAAGAAGAAGTTGAGGCAGGAAAATAGATAGATAGATAGATAGATATAGGTACAGAAGAAGAAGTTAAGGCAAGAAAATAGAGGAATGTAACAAAACGCGAGTACGGAATGGGACACGGATGAGTATACGAAACAAGAGCAAGGGCAAAACAATTAAGAACATATATTAGTATATAGGAAGTAGAGAAATCACAAACGACGAAAAGAATAATAATGAGATTGAACCGACTGGGAAAGGAGAGGCGGAAGAGATAAGAAAAAGTAAAATACAACCGTCGAATAATAGCATGTGGTTGTGATAAGCAAGATATTCACGGAAGATCGGGAAATAATGGCAGAATTGAATGAGAGGAAGTACGAGAAAACGTTTACTTTCTATTTCTTATTGTTAGGCAAATGTGAAGACGGACATAGGAGGCAGAGAAAGGAAAGCTGAGCGCAAGCGAAACTATAGTAATGGAAAACTTGTATCAATAAACCGCTGATGCTAGCGCGTGGAGCGGGGAACCCCAATAGCCAAACAAAGCTCGTGCCCGCTTGCAGCCTGTTCTCATGCATGCATACATGCTCGTCCTGTTTGGGTAGGAGCATGCAGGACCTGATTACTAATAAAACGGTAACCGTTTAGGTAACCGGTACCAGAAATATGTGCCTGAATCGCGCTTACGAAATTTATTTCAGAGTGGTGTAGCATTAAGCTAGCTCTGTTGAGATCGACATTCATTTCCACGTGTCGTTAGTATTTTGTTTCTATTGGCCCGCGAACGTTTCAGCTGTCCTCATTATTTCACTTCTCCTCACATCTTTTATAGTGGTTACTTTCTCTCGCTTAATTTTCCCTTTCTCGAGTGATTATCCCCATTCCCCTAATTTCCCCCGACCTTGGCTTTCTCTAACCCCTATATTTTTTCCAATTATCCATATTATAACTTCTCCATTGGCGTTTCCAATTTGTCGCGTTTCTCTTTTTATTTTTAGGTATTCGTCTGTTATCCTCGCTCTTTCTCCTATGTGCCACGAGAAGTTTAATAGAAGTCGTTATAATAAATTTGTGTGTCAGTAGCAATTGCGTTTTCTTATAAATTTCACAATTTCATTACGCCTAACAGTGTACAGAGACGCAATTCCATTAAACGGCGTCGTTAAATCTCCTATACATGCATCAATCAATGTCACGGTGCCTTAAAGTAGTTTGTATATATATTTCAATGAACGGTTTTTTAATCCATGTTCATTTCAGCTTTTGCCAATAATAATCGAGGTAAATTAAGCTTGTTGAATTGCTTGAATAGGCAGTTGTCTGAAAAATGGAAGGTGGTTTAATTTGTTCCACATATACAATCGACTTTTGGACACCTTAAATGCCATATATAGTTTGACAGTGCTAAATTATATGGGGACTGTTATCACGGGATGACAGACATATCTATTATATTAAATGCATCCTAAATCGATTTAAAAACCTGCGCTTTCAGATGCCGTTATAACGCGTCTACAACAGTGCTCGTACATGATATCGAACTATATCGTTATCCGTACTATCATAGTGTTGCTGTAATGTCGTTGTCACCGGTAAGCGATCGTTTAACTATCCTAATAAAATACGCAACCTCCTACAGATGTATACATCTGAGTAACAATAAATTTTCTATAAATATGTTTCAAAACATTATGATTAAATCCATTTATTACCCATGACATTTAGGTATACCGATATATTCGTTACTAGCATTAGTAAATCTGACAGCATATATTCATGTTAAATCGTGTTATAATATTATTCTCAGCCAAATACTATATAACATTACGAGAAATAGACAGTAATAAACATCATCATCATCATGCTAGCGATTACTGTTTATGTTAATATGTACAAGAATTACAGCAACCGCCTATAAAAACGACTTTCACCCGTGTGGCTAACCTGTATAATACCAGTCGTCATGTTACGCTTGACTGCGTTCGCTACACTGACGTGACTACCTTCTGGTGAGTAGGCCCTAGCGGCCGTTACGAGCAGGAGCGGTAATCATTAACGTTACCGTGTGGCATATATTTCGAATACACGGACAACTCTCTCTGTACGCGTCCGACAGTGAAATCAGTGAACAGGACAGGGCGAAGCCCGTTTCTCTGCTTGTTGTAGCTGCGAGGTTAATGATAATTGGTACGCAAACAAACTCGACGTAGCGGATAGGTCGTGCAGCGGCCGCACGGGCCTGCTCACTCTCCCCTATAACTATTGTAACAACAGCGAATCTACGCGCTAGATTACTGCCGCGGGTTTCCCTTCAGGTTTCTATTCGGCGCGTTTTTGCTATCAAGGCCGACCGACGTATATAAGCGAAAGCGCCTCGCCTGATTGCATTAGAACATCTAGTAATTTTCGAACCGACCCCCGAGCTATCGCAAAGGCTATCGTCCGTTTAGCAGTGATAAGGGAATACGCCACGTACGTGCGAGCCAAATAGTGTCCGTTTAACGTAGTCAGCCAGGAAATACGCCAAAGCGACCATGACGACTGCAGCGCTGCCTGTGTGTTGCGTAATTGTCGTCGTCCTCCTGGCGACGTACGCGCGCGGACAGTTCGTCGAGCAGCCGACGTCGAGTCCCGTGACGGCGCTACGAGAGGGCAACGACGTCGAACTGCGATGCGTCATCGAGCCGACGTTTGACGGCGTCGCGGCGACGGGCGCGCTGTGGTACCGACGTGATCGCCAGCAGTACATCAACGTGCGAAGCGCGAGCCGGTACCGCTACGTCGACGCGAGCCACGAGAATGGAGACTGGAGCCTTCTGATCTCGAACACGACGATCGACGACAACGGCTACTACTACTGCCAGTGGTCCGTGTTCGGCGGAGACTTCTACGATTCGAGCGCCGTGATGCTGACGATCGTGATGCCGCCAGAGAACATCAGCTTGTACTACGACACCGTCGCGACGCACGGCGAGGTGGCGCTAGCGGCGTTCGAACCGGAAAACTTCACGTGCATCGTCGCCAACAGCAACCCGGCGGCGAGCGTCACGTGGACGCTGGACGGACGCGACGTGAGCGAGCACGCGAACGTGACGCTGACGGTCGGCGAGACGCAGCAGCTGACGACGACGACGAGTCGGCTGTCGTACGCGTTTCACCCCGACGACAACGGCGCGCTACTGCGCTGCGACGCGCTGGTGAGCGCCGACGAATTCTCGCTCGCCGTCACCGACAACGTCGAAGAACGCCTGCAGGTGACCGTCAACGTCTACTACCTGAACGCCATCGTCAACGTCCTCAGCGCCAGCGCTTCGAGCGCGCTCGCCGAGGGAGAACGCATGGAGCTGCGATGCGAAGCGCGAGGAAACCCGCCGCCGCGCGTCACGTGGCACTTCACGCCGACGGACGGCGACGACACGACGCTGTGGACGGACAACGAACGGCTACTTGTCGTCGACGGCGTGACGCGAGAGAATAGTGGCGAGTATTGGTGCGAGGTCGACAGCAGCGTCGCGCAGTACGCGTCCGTTAATCGCGTAGCGATAACGGTGGCCGTCGAAAGCAGCACGACCCGCGTCGCCGCCACCGTCGTGCCGATCATCGTCGTAATTCTAGTTGCCGTTTTGATTGTCGCTTTCATGTACGTAAAGAAGATGTTGTGCTTCGAATCGAAAAAGCAACCCGACGAGGAGAAAGTGGACGCGAATGTCAGCTATAGGCCATCGAGCGGCGTCTATAATTATGCGATGGACAGCAAGGCTAAGGTCCCGGATGGTGACAACGAGGCGAGCATTAAGCCACCGCCGAGCAACGAAGATACAAAGATGTGCTCGACCCCGGATAAGCTGAGGAAGGACCTACAGAAGCACCCTCTGGCGACGGAGTTTGAGAGCGTGTACAGAGTACGTCGTGCGTCGGAGACTGGCGAGCCGATAGCTGATCCGCGTAGCAAAAATGTCGAGAATCTCAACTATGCCAACTTGGAACTATCGAATGCCAACGGGCGCACGGCGGCGCCTAAGAAGGAAGATGAACCAATAATCTACGTTGTCGTGAGTAAGCCGCCCGCCACCGATAGTCAGGTATAGTCAGGCATTTGCGTTAACGAAGTCTCGGCGTCTGTTGTGATGCGGATTTCCTGCATGCAGCCGTGTCTGCATCTCGCAAGTGAGAGTGATGAAAACCAACTGATGTATGCTAGCCAGACTATTTTAGCAGGTCTTAGCCACTTAGGTTCGATTAAGTGGAAGAAAAAGCTTTGGACTTAGCGCTGCTGCTAATAGTGGCCAAGGGCACAGCGATGATGGTTAGTGACATCCTGCACAGCCAGTCTACGGGTTGATGACCAGTTAAAATCTGTAAAATTGCATTCGCTCTAGTGATCTCGTTTACGTGCAAATTCCGGCGAAATGCGCTCGAGCAAATATTTCGCGGACGAAATCGTGAGGGATGTGAAATATTTACATAGTCATTGATGAAATCCATCATGGATATTATCAAGAGCTAATAAATACCTATATAGGTATTTATTAGCTCTTGATATTATATTCACGAGGGACATCCTAAATAATGACGCGAGAGTCTTGTTTTATAGTCATCTTAAACATTATATGCTGTTTGGTATTTAGGATGATATTAAGCGTGTGATTAGACGAAAGTGTTTCTGATTTCATGACATCAGAATACTATGCTCGCGGTCAAGTACGTGGGAAACCTACATTATTTTAACATACCTTGTACTAACGATATAATGATACGTAATTGAACATTTATTATCTCTGTAAATACGACGTCTCTGTATGTATTGTTTTAGCGCTTCTTTAGTTTATTACGCGCGCTGGGTATTTTCCGTGATGTACTCTTTTACTGTTTACTCCTTCTTTAAATTAAAATCGCTGTCAACAGGTTGGTAATAAATTTTAATGTGAACCACAAAAGCTGTCTATAATAAGTCATGAATTGTGGTTGCATGTCAATTAATGATGACGATCGTAATTAAGAACCTATCTTAACTAATTCGCACGCAATCAGCTGAAAAATGTTTTAATTATCTGACCATGACTCGCATAATAAGAGAATAAGTAGTATGAACGCGCAGAGCGGCAATATCGTATATACAGATTCACGAATGTCATGGAATTTTTTTAATGCTATCGCGCCAACTGCTTATGTAGCTACGTAATATGAGTAATAACAAAATAATATTAGTGAGGCGGGATAACAACATTGTTTACGTTTAAAAAAATGCGTTGAGTCGATGCACACAGCGTTCCTTTTGCTGAAGTTTTCCTGGTATAGTGTCAATTGAGCAGTGTCACCTGGTGGTCGCTGAAAAGACGTGGATTTGCAGACCATGCTGGTCATCAGTTCGCCTCAGTCTACACACGCGCGAGCTCTCACACATGCCCACACGCGCACCCCATATATATGTATATATATATATATATATATATATATATATATATATATATATATATTTATATGTATGTATGTATATGTATATATATATATATATATATATATAAGATGTGCGTAAATCTGAAATTGATGTAGCGTGAACATATCCGGCTTACGTAGGAGTGATCGTTGACACGCGAAGTATAATCATTCAGTGCGCGTGAGAGCACGTACTGATCGTTCCCCGGATTACTTTTCTCAACATTTTGAGCCGACTCACGTGCAGCCGTTAATGTATATTTGGAGATTAACAAAAAGTCATTTGGCTACATTCTATACAAATATTATAGTGTTAGGCGCGTGAAAGCGAGTCGCCAGCAGACTGAATAACATCAGCCCTCTATCATATCCCAGCAGGAAATAAAAAAAGGGTTAGTGTATGTATGTCTAGTGCCAGCTAGCGGAGGCATGCGCGTAAGTTTACCTGCTAGTCATACTCCAAAAAACCGCTCACATTTCTCTATTTTAAACTGAAGTCGACAGCCAAAAGCAGAGAGCCAGCCTGTCTATACTGACATCGCACTACTATTTTCACTGTGTGATGCTGTGTCTAAGAGGTACGCACGCAGTATCCGCAATCAAAGAGCTCAGAAAATTGACCGTATCTTACTCAGCCGCGGTATGTGCCTGCATGTGATTGAATCAAGGGAACATAGAATCAAGATTTCCTTTCAGCGTCATTATCAATTATGTGTATGCCTTCTTAAGCCTTATAAAGATCCCATCTCGGCGATGCTTCGGTAACCCACATTAGTTCCATGCTGCACACACTGTCGCCCGTCTACCTATATACCCTAAACCTAATTAATGCGCCGCTATTCTTGGACAAGTGCGATAATCTGTAGCTATTAAAGATGGCTCTTTATAATATAAGTACGGTAAGTTTAGAGGGGAGACATCCTACGTTGTACTACAGTACGATATTCTGTATTTGCACGAGTTTAATGAGTTTTGTGCGGGTATGCGGGCGTGCGTGCCTATATACTTATACTTCAAGAGAAACGTTCAATTTGGGTAAATACTGTGCTTCTGACTAGGACCATTCTGCCTGCCAGGACAAGCACGACAGAAAAAATATAGGTTAACATTGCACTCTTCACTGCAACAGTGCGATACTGCAAAGCCATATGCACCCTTAAATGTTTCTGTATGCAGGTCGGCTATATGGTACTCAGGGCTAAGGTTTCAATCGGTGTAATTGCCTCTAGAGTCAGATAAATTATAAATTAAGAATGCGTGTGCATACTTTCCCCTTCTTCTTCTCCTTCTCCTCTTTATCATCATACTACTTCTACTCCTTTCTATACTCTTCTCCTTCCCCTCCGTCTCCTCCTCCTCCTCCTCCTCCTCCTCCTCCTCCTTCATCATCATCTTGATCTTCGTCTTCCTTTTGGAATTTGTCTTCGTCTTCATCGTCGTAATCTTCTTTTTTCCTCTTTTGACATCTTCCCATTTCTTCGTCTCTACTTCTTGCCTTAACCAGATTTAACATGCTAGATGTATAAATCGTGATATGGTACCCGTGACAGCTGATAGAACAACTTGTGTTTGTGATGAAAGATGAAATTCTATCATACTTTTTTTTTATAAACTTTTCTTCTTTCTCTTCGATTTCTTCCTCATCTTCATCTTCTCTACTTTTTTCTTCTTCGTCTTCTTCTTATTCCTCTTCTTCCTCCTCCTCCTAATCCTCCTCCTCCTTCTTCTTCTTCTGTCGCGTGTTGCCCGCGGCTTCTTCTTCTTCGTTTTATATGTTTTCTTGTCGTTCTCGTTCCTCTTCCCCGTCAAATGAAAACATGGCGAAGGCTCTATAATAATATTGCTGATGCGGTATGGCTTTGAACTGTGACAGTAGATTATTACTGCGATAGGCTGGATAGGATATCGATGTAAAACCGAGTGTCTATCAGTACATCCTGCTTGTGACACGGCGACATTTTATGTACCAGTGACGCGAATATTCGCGACGTTCGGAAGTCATTATACGAGTTCATATACGTCAAGAAATGTGAAACGATAACACGCGATTCGACTAGAAACGTCGACATCTTTAAAGATATTTTCCGTGGAGTTATACTGAGAAAATACACGTCGTTTCATTTATTCGGAAAACGAATGTTTTCTCTTTCCTGTTTCCACACCGGTATAGAAAACATTTATTGCGCTACGTTCAACATGCTCTCAAGTTCGTCATAGGTAATAGCTCGTACGTTGAGAGCAATATTTAAATGCTTTACCGTAGACTGTATATGGTTTGCTGTTGTTTTTGTTGTTCGTGGTGGTGGTGGTGGTGGTGGTGGTGGTTGGTGGTGGTTGGTGGTTTAGGCGGTGGTGGTTTAGGTGGTGGTGGTGGTTTAGGTGGTGGTGATGGTGGTACAGGCCACACGACACACACACACCCACCCGCCGCGCGCGCCGCGCGATCCGTAGCTCACGCCGTGCTAAGATAATCGCCCAAATCTGTGTGTCAAAAAATCCACGCAAGGCTTTCTGTTCAACTTCGCATCGACTAAGCGTTGACCATCGGTCTCCAGCCTGCTTTGAAGACCCCATGGGTCACGTGCAAGCATTTCAACTCACTGAAGTGCCCCACTGTCATATCAGAGACTCGGCCAGAGTCGCCAAACGCCCCTGACGCCTAGCTGTCCCGCTTAAGCTACGAGGACGATTGAAATGAGTTGAAAACTCAGCCATGGCGGCGCTAAAGTCTTCCTCGCCATTAGTATGAGCTATAATTATTGTTCAAGTTGCCTAGCAAATTATTCCGGCATAGGATCCGGCGCCTACGAGAATGGTGTCTTTAATAAGGCGTTATACTATGTTAAATGAGGTTATGTATCGACCAGAACAGCGCGATCGAAAGGAAGCTACCTAATAATCGGAATGAACATTAATTTGCGAAGGTGCGTAGCGTGTGTGCGTGCGTCGGTAGGGGGGTAATATCGTTTGGGGCGTGTGTGTGTGTGTGTATGTGTGTGTGTGTTGTGTGGTGTGTGTGTGTGGTGTGTGTGTGTGTGTGTGTGTGTGTGTGTGTGTGTGTGTGTGTGTGTGTGCGCGCGAGCGCAGTATGCTTTCATGTGCATGCGTTGTGTGAGTCGTCACGAGGGCGTAAGATGGGGTGTGGGTACATGAATATGTGTACTACATGCCATCATGGTTTCATAATTTGTCCCATTATTAACCCCTGATGCAATACGAAGAATGAAAGGCGACAGCGCGAGAAATAAATGGAGAGAAAAGACGATAATGCGAGGCGAGCGAGCGCGAGGACATCGCTGGGAGAGAGAGAGATGAGAGAGAGAGAGAGAGAGAGAGACGATAGAGAGAGAGAGAGAGAGAGAAGAGAGAGAGATAGATAGATAGATAAGCGAGAAAGAGAGAGAGAGAGAAAGAGAGAGAGAGAGAGAGATGAGGAGAGAGTAGAGAAATAGATAAATAAGATTAGATAGACAAAGATAGATAGATAAAAAGATAGATAGATTAGATAGAGATAGATAAATAGATAGATAGATAGATAGATAGATAGATAGATAGATAGAATAGATAGATAGATAGATAGCATAGATTAGATAGATAGATAGACAGATTAGAGAGAGAGA